CCGGGGTTTTGTTTAGCTTCTATATTTGTTACAATGTTGCTTAGAGTGCAGCTGAGAGGCCGGCAAGGCAGGCAGGGAAGCTTGGCTTCCTCCGTCACTGAAGCAAGCAAGCCTCCCTGTTCGCGTCAGCTGCCTGGCTGCCGGCCGCCATCTTGGCTGGCAGTTAATTTGCATATCTCACTGATTAGCCAATGGGAAGTGTAGCGGCTGTACGGCTAATTACCATGTTTCTCTTTTATTAGATAGGATAATATTATTGACTATATTCCCTATGCTGTACTTTATATTCCTGTGACTACTTGTAACTACCAATTTGTACTTTTTAAACATTTTTTAATGGATTTCAGAGAGGCAGGGAGAGGGAGAGAGAGATAGAAACATTTTATTCCATTGTATATATGTACCACAGCTTAAAATTTTTTCTTTTTTGTTAATTCTCACCTGAGGATGTTTTTTTCATTGATTTCCTCCCCCCGCCCCCATTGATTTTGAAAGAGAGTGGAAGGGAATGGGAAAGAGAGACATAGACATCCATGTGAGAGAGACACATTGATTGGTTGCCTCCCAAACATGCCCTGATGCCCCAACCAGGCTGGGAATGAACCTGGAACCTGCAACCCTTGACTGGGAATTGAACCAGTGAACCTTCAATACTCTGGCTGATGCTCTACCACTGAACCACACCGGCAAGGGCAGTCTTTTTTCCTTTTTTTTTTCTTTTTTTAATGATTCAGTTTTCTTTTTAAAAAAAATACATTTCTATATTGATTTCAGAGAGGAAGGGAGGAGAAATAGAAACATCAGTGATGAGAGAGAATCATTGATTGGCTGCCTCCTGCATGCCCCACACTGGGGATCAAGCCCGTGCAACCCAGGAGTGTGCCCTTGGCTGGAATTGAACCCAGGACCCTTCAGTCTGCAGGCCAATGCTCTGTCCACTGAGCCAAACCAGGTAGAGCCAAGGGCAGTCTTTAATCCATTTTTAGTTTATTCTTGTACATGGTGCAAGAAGGTGATCTAGTTTCATTTTTTTTTTGCATGTATTTGCCCAACTTTCCCAACACCATTTATTGAATAGACTGTCTTTATCCCATTGTGAAAATGGCATTTCTTTTAAAATAATTAAAATTAAGTCATTTTGATAAACTCTATTGGCCTTTCCTCTCATGATTTTGAAATTTGGTGTGTTTCTTGGTGACAGTTTAGTGCTTTTCATTTGGATAGCTCTGTTCTTCTGGCTACACGTAAAGTCACTGAGAGGTGTTCTACCTTTAGCACCCATTTTAGAACCAATTATGGTAATTGCGAAGTAGATGTCATGACCTGCCTTGGGGTTTCCTGCTCATTAGCATCTCCACTAGAGGGCAGGCTGGGCTAAAGAGGAGAGAGGAAAGCAAAATTTTCTTTCTCTGGCTGGCACTGTCCTCCCGCTCCCCATCCCAGCTCCTAGCCTGGTGATTGCACAGAGCTCCTGGGACACGTGTCCAGCTCCAGGCAACACAAGGGAAAATTCTGAAGTGACTGATGATGTGTTTATACATTATCTTCTTGCAGCATTCTCTTTATAGAGGAAAGGAGGAAGTATGGTAATTTACCCAGGACTTAAAATATGTTGACTATAAAGCAATTGAGTAATTATGGGTTTTCTAATACTTTCATGTCCTGTGTCCTTGAGAACCAGAATTTTTTGTGTGGCAGACATGAGGTACACATGTGATACAGAAGACGTTAAAAACCCTTGAGCCTTGAGTTCGAGTAGGAACTATCGGCATGAGGTGTTTTATTTTTCGATCCCTATTCACTGAAAAGGTCTAGAAACAATGATTAATTCAGTATCAATGAATACTTCTGCCACCTATATCTTCTTGTTGTTGTTCTGCCACTTATATCTTAAAATACCATTACCCACAGAAAGAAACCACAGCTTGGAGAAATGGCTGATTCTAGGTCAGGGCAGGAAGTGTATAAGATGAGCATGGGATAATTTAGCAAAGAAGCCAGCAGATATAATCGGGGTAATGCCAAAAGGACTCAGGAGCCTAGTTCTCATGGCCAAAGATGGGACAGTTTGAGCATTAATAAGGATAATTTAATCAACATTATGTTTAGGGGCCCTGGCCAGGTAGTTCAGCTCAGTTGGTTAGAGTGTTCTCCTGATAAGCCAAGGTTGCAGGCTTATCCCCAGTCAGGGCACATACAAGAATCAACCAATGAATGCATAAATAAGTGGATCAACGAATCAATTCCGCCCCCCCCCATTCCTCTCTCTTTCTCTAAAATCAATAAAAAAATTTTAGAAAAAATAAACGTTACGTTTAAATCCATGAGTTCATAATGGGGTTTGTGTATTTATAACTAATTGGTCATCTTATTTTTAAAAAATATATATTTTTATTTATTTCTGAGAGGAAGGGAGAGGGAGAGATAGAAACATCAATGATGAGAGAGAATCATTGATTGGCTGCCTCCTGCATGTCCCCCACTGGGAATCCTACAACCCAGGCATGTGTCCTGACCAGGAATTAAACCGCGACCTCATGGTTCATAGGTTGACGCTCAACCACTGAGCCACACCGGCTGGGCTAATTGGTCATTTTTTTTTTGAAGGATAAGAAAACAAATCATTATTATGAAGATGGTAAATAAAGAAAAAGCAGTTATATTGCTGTTCGTATATAAACTGTAGCCCAGGGTAATGAGTAAAAGATAAAGGGAGTGTCCCTTTGTAAAAGTATTCCAGCTACAGAGCTTAGATATGGCTGCTTTGAAATCCCTAATAAATTAATGAGTCTAAACATTGAACATCTAGGCCTGGATTCTTCAATGGTTAAATTGAGGTAAAAGAAGGGAATGGAGGAGGAACCTATAGTTTGAAAGAGACTTAAAAAGCCTATGAAATTTTTGGAAAATGAGCAAGGCTAAACTATAATGTTTAGGGATCCACATTTGGGTAATAAAACTACAGAAAACAAACAAAAAAAGCAAGGAAGTGATTATGGTGCACCATAGTATTCATTTATGCCAGGAAGGAGGGACTGTGATGGATACAAACATGGTGAGGAGGGGTGTGTGGTGGTGGTAATGGGGGGTTACTTTTGGTGTCTGGCAAAGTTCTCTTTCTTTTTCTAGGTGATAGTTTCAAGGGTATTCACTTTAGTTTATTAAGTTATACCTTTGCTTTGTTTTTATGTATCTATTTTAAAATTAAAAGGTTAATAAATATGTGTTATTTATTTTTTATCATTCACCTGGAGCTATAGACATACAGCCCCATTTTATTCTAATTGACACAGTCATTTTTAAGACTAACATATTCACATCACTATGCATTTAGATACCAGAAAGGTGCCTAGAGCCCCAATTCCCTGCTTCTTTGCTGAAGGGACTTACTTCCAAACTGATTTTCTTTCTCCTCTAAGTTTTATTTATATTGCTGATTTTATTGTTAAACTGCGGAGTCAGTAATATATAATAGGCTTACATAGCCTAATTTAATCAACATAGAGTGGAAAGGTGAGGACAGCTAACATATATTCAAAGGTTACTCCATACCAGGTATAGTTTTGAGTATCTGGCACTGCTGACTTTTACTAGTAATCTTAACAATACTGTAAGGTGTGGGCATATCTGTATTCTACAGATAAAGAAACTGGCTTGAGTCTACTATGTGCCTAACATCTGTTATGCTGCTTCTGATCATATTGTTTTAGTCATCACATGCTATTTATGAAGCTGAGGATTTGTCTGTATATTTTTAAGTGCAATGGACTCCATTGCTTACTGTATTTTAGCATGTGTCCACTCTGACCTTTAGTCTGTTCTGTTCTTACACAGACTTCTATCTTACCCACCTCAGTTTATACATTGACTCAGCCTGATCCAGATCACAGATGAAGTTATCCTCAGTTGATGCCCCTGATTTATGTAGGATCATCTCTCTCTCTTTGTAGTTTCCCTCAAATTGATTTCAGAGTTTAGGCCAAGGCCTTGCTACTCAAACTATGGTCCCTGGACCAGCAGCATCAGCATCACCCAGGAGCTTGTAAGAAAATCAGAATCTCCAGACCACCCCAGACTTGCTGAAAGAGAATCTGCATTTTAGTAAGATCCCCAGGTGATTCATATGCACTTCTAAGTTTGAGAAGCATGAAATAGGGGGCTTCTAAAAGTCTCTGCTTCTGTGAGAGACATGGCTCTGCAGTTATCATTTACCTTTGGCTCTACTGCTTACTTTGTGACCTTGAGTAATTACTTAACCTCTCTGTGCCTTTGCTTCTTCATCAGTAACTTGCCTCAAAGGGTTGTTTTGTATGTGCTTAGGACAGTGCCTGGCACACAGAAAATGCTATAGAAATGTTAGTTGTCCTAATATTGAATAAGCTTTCATGAATACTTTGTGAGTCCCAATTTTAGGTCAGGCAGGAGGAAGAACAGTTTTGAGAATTGACAGTAAACCACTTCACTGGAGAATGGGGTTATAGAGGCTTCTGCTAGTCTGAGTGGAAGGTCAGGAATTTTAGGCCTGGAGGCTGTACTGAGCAGCTGGCAAAGGACTCCACCTTTTTAAGACCTCAGGACACAGAGTAGATAGTGCCTACTCCCAGGAATTCCTACTTAGATGGCTTGTAGATAGAGCTGTCTATGGGACATCAGTTGCTTAGAGGAGTTGGAAGAAGATTGTGAAATTGGTGTTAGAGGGAAGCTGTGAAGATAAGTGGGAAATGAAAACACAAGTGTTGTGTAAAATAAATGAGCATCTCTTATTGGATAGCATGTGGGGAAAGGCCTCTGGCCTGGTCTCAAGTCTCCCAGAAGATGTTACATCAAATTGCTCATATTTTCTGCAAGCCTAGTTGCTCTCCTAGTCCCAGATGGCAGTGGGGAGTAGGGGGATGCTGTGCTCTCTGGCTAGACTGGAGCCTCAGGTCACATTCTGCGCACACGTTTCTCCAGGGCCTCCAGCTCAGTCAGTACCTCCTTGGGCAGATCCTGGTTGACCTGCTCTGTTAGGTAGCTCCTAATTTCACGAACCTCCTGTTCCCAGAAGTCCTTAGGGAGCGAGAACAGCTGGGCAGTATCTATGGCTCCCAGGCCGCTGAGATCCAAGGCGCCTTCCTTTGGCACCAGCCCGATGGGTGTCTCTCGGGCACTGTCCTCCCCCTCTAGCCGCCGGCAGATCCAGTCTAGAACTCGAGCATTCTCTCCGAAGCCTGGCCACAAGAAGCGGCCAGCCTCATCACGCCGGAACCAGTTGACATGGAAGATGCGGGGCAGCCGGGCCCCCTTGCGCCCCTCCATGCTCAGCCAGTGTTCTAGGTAGTGCCCAAAGTTGTAGCCAAAAAAGGGCCGCATGGCAAATGGGTCATGCATGATCACCTTCCCTGGGGAGGGGAAAGGATGGGTAAGGAATCTTCCTGCTTACTGGAAAAGAGAAGGGCACCTGGCATCCAGTTGGAGGAAATTGTAAAATGTTCATGGTTCTGGAATCTCAGGGCAGGGTGAAAAGGAATGGGGAATGGGCTGGGCAGGAGGAAGGTCTGGCTCAGGCAGGGAGAGAAGAGGCAATGTGGACACATGGGAGAGGGACAATGAAAGGTTCTCACCTTTGTGTTCAGCCGCAGCAGTGGACTCAGAGCGCATGGCACTGCCCACAAACACTCCGTGGTGCCAGTTGAAGGCCTCGTATACCAGGGGCACTCCTAGAAAACCAGTGAACGGGGTCACAGGCAACCCTTTTTATTGGACTCACTCCATCCTTTCTGGTGATTCTGACTCCTAATCTCTCTCCTAGAACCTCAGCTGTCCCATTTTCAAATCTCATGCCTCCCCCCATGTTTGTATTCTCCAGGGGAGAGCTCTGGAGACAGACAACTACAGTTGGCAACCTGAGCTTTGAGTACAAGAGGGAGGTGGGCCCTGATGTAGACTCAGATCCTTTACCGACACAGCATGGCACCCAATGTTTACCTTTGGGTCTGCGGCCTCCAAAGATGATGGCATCAATGGGGACACCCTCCGGAGCCTCCCAGGCTGGGTCCATGATGGGACACTGGCGAGCCGGGGCACAAAAGCGAGAGTTGGGATGTGCACAGGGCTCCTTGTCACCTGGCAGAAGAAATACAAATACTATCACTTCCAAGGGCAATCCACCCCCAGCACACACATGCATGTACTCTTGCACAATATCTTTTTGCCTCATCAGCTCCCTACAACCTCATGTGGTAGGGAGTAGGGAGTTAGGACATTTCCCCTAAAAGATCAGGTTATTTATCCATAATAGTACTGAGAGCTGAGCTGTGTGAGAAAAGAGAGAGGAATTGGGGTTCAGCAGGGCACTAATGTTTATGCCAAACTATGGCCAGTGTTCAAAGGAATGGAGTTAGATGTTGGCATAATCCTCCCCCCCCCCAAAAAAAAATTCTTTATTTATGGGATATTTAAATAAACACTCAAACCTAAAGCAAAAACTGAATCTGTCTGGTGAGTATTTCAGACAGTTGACTTTTCATCAGCACCCCTGAGCTATCAAAATGCAAATAGAAATTGATTTTAAAGCTAATAGAATTTTGCCCTAACTAGTTTGGCTCAGTGGATAGAGCGTTGGCCTGTGGACTGAAGGGTCCCAGGTTCGATTCTGGTCAAGGGCATGTACCTTGGTTGTGGACACATCCCCAGTAGAGGGTGTGCAGGAGGCAGCTGATTGATGTTTCTCTCTCATCGATGTTACTAACTCTCTATCCCTCTCTCTTCCTCTCTGTAAAAAAAAATCAATAAAATATATTAAAAGAGAGAGAGAGAGAGAGAGAGAGAGAGAGAGAGAACACGATTGTTTTTTTTAAAAAAGCTAATAGAATGTTGGTGTTTTACCTGGGCCTGCCAAGTCCCTGATGGAGTGATAAGGCTTGAAGAACTCAGACAAGGATATAACCTGGGCAGGCATAACCTGAGGAGCCCAGGTCATTTGGCCCCTTCAGGTGCCCTAGAGATGCTTTGGGACCAAATCAGGGGCAAATGTGTACTCATATGTAGGGCACTATCAAGGGGACCCCAAATGGACATGGTGCCTCCTCTGCTGGAGGTTTCGGGTCAGACCTAGGGGGCAAGGAAGTCAAAGAGCTGGTTATCCCTGCCCTTTTCCCACCCACCAGCTCCTGCCTCCACTCTCAGGAAAGAGCTGTCCTTTACCCTCTCTCTTGCACTTTCATCAGCCCCTAATTCAGGTCCCTAGCACAGGGTGTTATTCTGGGAACTGAAGCTGGGCGCAACATGCTCTAGTTATAGCCCTGAATCCAGAAATGATGAAAGGGTTGGGGAATCAGCCTGTAAGGAAATAGGAAATTTTCTTGGATTTCTCAGTTGGGTAGGAAGTCTGAGGAGGGCTTAATGATGATGTTGAAGAAAATAAAGGGTGATTAGACGAGGAGGGTGACTGCTAGGCCAGCTTGGAAAACTTGAATATAGGCTCCAGTGACCACAGGGCTACCTTCCCCCACCATGCTCTTCTTTGCTCCCATCCCTCGGTCTCTGGGCTCTCTGACTGCTGAAGGCCACAGAAAACTGAAGGGCAGAGTGCAGGGTTGGGGGTGGGGGCAGGATTGCAAGGCACGGGGAGAATTGACAGGGTTGAGAAACTCACTTCTAGGAGAGGCTAAAGAACTAGTCTGATTCAGTTTGGAAGAAGAATTTGAGTATATGTGTTGGAGGGACAGGGAAAGGGTAAGGGTTACAATACTGACCTGTATTTATTTATTTATTTTGGTATTCCTCACCCGAGGAATTTTTCCATTGATTTTTAGGGAGAGTGAAAGAGAGAGGGAAAGACAGAAAAACATCGATGTGAGAGAAACACATCGATTGGTTGTCTCCTGCACGATCCTGACCAGGTACATGCCCTTGACTGGAATCGAACCCGGGATATTTTGGTCCGCAGGCTGACGCTCTATCCACTGAGCCAAACAGGCTAGGGCAACAATACTGACCTTTAGACAGTGGTTATTATATAGGAGGATGGTGAGAACCAAGTGGCAGGCGGAGGGGCAGACTTCTTCCCTTCCTAATAGGTCAAACTTTATGTGCCGAAACCGGTTTGGCTCAGTGGATAGAGCGTCGGCCTGCGGACTGAAAGGTCCCAGGTTCGATTCTGGTCAAGGGCATGTACCTGGGTTGCGGGCACATCCCCAGTGGGAGATGTGCAGGAGGCAGCTGATCGATGTTTCTAACTCTCTATCTCTCTCCCTTCCTTTCAAAATAGTCCTCTTTTCTTTTTAAAAAATACCTAGTTTATATTTATGGTGGATTTACTATGTGTTCGGTACTGTGCTAAACCCTTTGTATGCATTTAAAACTTCAACAACTTTATGTGATAGTGCTACCCCATTCAACTGATGGGGAAACTGACACTCAGGAAGTTAAGCAGTTTAACCAAGTCACAAAGCCAGTACTTGATGGAGCTGGGATATGAACTGAGACCTTGCCTGGAGTTAGAAACTTTAAACCAGGGGTCCTCAAACTACGGCCTGTGGGCCACATGCAAATACAAATATTGTATTTGTTCCCGTTTTGTTTTTTTACTTCAAAATAAGATATGTGCAGTGTGCATAGGAATTTGTTCATAGTTTTTTTTTAAACTATAGTCCGGTCCTCCAACGGTCTGAGGGACAGTGAACTGGCCCCCTGTTTAAAAAGTTTGAGGACCCCTGCTTTAAACATTCATAACTTCCTGTGCCTCCTGGAGGTCCTGGAAGATGCCTGCAGATTGTGAAGGATTTTATATCATCAAGGTGCTGAGCCCTGGGAACTGTGTCATGACTCCCCCGCCCCACATACCAGGTTTCCAGGCCTTGCCCAGCCAGGAGGTAACAGTGACGCCAGGTGGAAGAGGCTGGTCAATGCCCTCCCAGTACACGCCACCATCGCTGGTCTCAGCCACGTTGGTGAAAAGAGTGTTACTCTGGATTGTGGCCATGGCATTGGGATTGGTGGTGGCAGAGGTACCAGGGGCCACCCCGAAGAAGCCATTCTCAGGGTTAATAGCCCGGAGTCGACCTGTTAAGAGAAGTGAAAAAAAGGAAAGACCAACCAGGAAAAATTGAGGGGTGGGCCAGAGAAGGTCCTGCTTTGTCCCTCTCTGCCCTAAGCTGGACCCTAGATCTGACAAGGAAAGGTGTGTGTCTCTGCCAGGACTTTCAGGGAAAGATGGACTATTCAGGAAAAGTTTCTTCCTGACAAAGCTCACCATGAGCAGTGGAGGGGAGGCCTCTGTGCTCTGGTAAGAGCCAGAATCAAGAGTGTGATCCAGGGACCACTCACCATCACTGTCAAACCTCATCCAGGCGATGTCATCCCCCACACACTCCACTTTCCAGCCTGGCAGTGCTGGCCGCATCATGGCCAGGTTTGTCTTGCCACAGGCACTGGGGAAGGCGGCTGCCACATAGCGCTTCTTCCCCGCAGGGCTGGTGATACCCAGGATCTGCATGTTGGGGAGAAAGGGAACAAGGGGGAGGTCACCAAAGGTCAGGGCATGGTCTGCACAGGAAGGGCAGCTACAGATTAACAGGGAGGACTGATGTTTATTCACTTAATAGGTGCACTGCCTTGCTACTGGGCCAGGGGTGGCAGCAAGGGAAGCCCCCCAACATTTAGCAGCTTGGGGTCAAAGCTTTGGGCTTTGGGCAGAGTCCCTGCCCACCAGCCTGGCACCTGGCAGTGGGGAGGCAAGGCTGAGGCAGACTGTCCAGGCCCCACCACTGCCTTGCCCCCCACAGCTGCCCAGTCCTCACCAGTCCCTCACCAGCATGTGCTCCGCTAGCCAGCCCTCATCCCTGGCCAGCCGAGAGGCGATGCGAAGGGCAAAGCACTTCTTGCCCAGCAGGGAGTTGCCACCATAGCCGCTGCCGAAGGAGACGATTTCCCGCTTGTCAGGCACGTGGCCAATCAGGGTTTTCTCTGGGTTGCATGGCCATTGGCTCACCGGCTCCCCTGGGGACAATGGGGTCATGGGGCTGCTAGCAGGAGCATCAGAAACTGGGGTTAGAGGGATCAGGGGTTGACAGGATAGACACTTGAGAGCAAAGGTGGTGCCAATGGATGGTTGAAGTCTCCCACCTCATAATATCCATCAGCTCTCTATTCTTAGAGACTTTCTCAATCTTGTGCAAACTGCTCTGCAACCCCACCTCATAATATCCATCAGCTCTCTATTAGAGACTTTCTCAATCTTGTGCAAACTGCTCTGCAAACAGCCTCACCCCCAATCCAGACCTGCTGGACTGGATCTAGGGAATTAGGTGTCTCATTAATTAGGATGGGAAGGATTTGGGGTTCCCTCTGAGTGTAAACAGGCCTTTGTATCCTCCCATGGACAGAGCAGGGGCTCACCTTGCCCAGTCAGGGGCCGACCCACGGAGTGCAGACACTTGACAAAGTCACCATCTCCGAGGGCCTGAAGCACAGGCGTCCCCAGCCGGGTCATAATACGCATGCTTGCCACCACGTAGGCCGAGTCAGTGAGCTGCACTCCGATGCGGGACAGTGGGGAACCCACAGGACCCATGCTGAATGGAAGGACATACATGGTTCGGCCTGTGGGGGGGAAATGTCACTTTGATGAAGGGTTCCAACCTGTTAATACCACCAGTGCCCTTGCCTCTGTGTCCCTGCCCTGATTACCCTGCATGCAGCCTGGAAACCTCTCATCCACAGCTTGTTGGAACTCAGCTGGGGACATCCAGTTGCCCAGCTGCCCGCGGGCCCCACCAGTCGGGATGGGCACCGTGTCTCGTTGAGATGGAGTTACAATCACCGTCTTGCTCTCTACTCGTGCCACATCCTTGGGGTCTGTGCGGGCCAGCCAGCTGGGGGAGAGAAGATTATCAGGAAGATGATGGCCAGCAGGTCTCCCTCATCCCCAGACCCACTCTTTCAAGTCCAACTTTGATTCTAAGTCTTCTGTTTTCCCCATCCATTTGCACCTCAATCTTCCTCCAGGTTATGTCCTATTTAAGGGGACACATGAAGGGGAGCCAGCGGCTGATATTATTGCAGGCTTAGCCCAAGCCCATATTTAATTATGTAGTTCTCGTGGCCCCCAGCCCTCTAAAGGCCCCCTTTCCTGGCAAAAACTCCCTGAACTTGTGAGAAAAAGAAAAGAAAAGCTTTTATTTGTATCTGCTTCTTTATTTAACATAAAAATACAGACCACTCCCAGTAAATCCTGACTTTGTTTCCTCTAAAGCTCCTATCCTTGCTCATTCCAGTGAGATGGTCTAGTTAAATCTCCTTTTGTCTTAGTAAAGACAAAGTGAGCGGCCTCAGTCCAAGCAACTGCCCCCATCTTGTGGGTCGCTGGGCTCGGGGCTTACCAGTTACTGTACTTGGGGAGCTTTCGGATGAGTCCCTGCTGCTCCAGCAGGGTCAGTGTGGCAGAGTTCTCTGCCTCAGTCCCATCACAGATGTGGATGCCCTCTGGTTGGCACAGTCGTGCACTACGCTCCACAAAGTCTCGAACCCCAGTAGGCAGCTGGCTCAGATCTCCACTGAGTACTCGCAGGGTCTGGATGCTGCGCTGTGATGACCAGCCACAGGGGCTCAGCCTATGCCAGCTAAGCCTGTGAGAGAAAAAAAACAGGTAATGAGCTAGGATAGGCAAGTCAAGAGGATAGGAGGCTGGGGCTGCTAGGGAGCATGCTAAAGCAAGTCCGGGTGCAGGTCTCATGAAGAGCAGGTTGGAGTAGGTGAGTGGGATGGGTTCAGGCGACATGTATCTTGTGGCCTTTATGAGGCTTAGTCAGGGTGTCTCCTGGTCAGCAACGGGCAGGTATTGCCAGATGACCATAGAGGCTGTGTAGAAGTACATGTATAGGCATGCTAATGTCAGTGCAGGCTTAGTCCATGCCCATGTTTAACTAGGTCTGGTCAATGTTTAGAAATGAACAGGTGCCCAGGGCCCAAGTATGGAAACTGTGCCTAGGTGACAGCTTCATGTTTGGTATTGGAAGCTCTCATCCCTGTTCTTTCCATTCTTGTTTACTTTTTAAAAGTTAAAAAGGCAGCTATTTTTATTTATTTCTTCTGGTGTGCATGCTGTAAGACTGTGAGAACCTCATGTAAAGAACCTGTTCTTTGAGATGGTACAGTCCCGGTTTCTAGATTAGGACTCTTGCACAGAGAGTAGGTGATCAGATGTTGGGGTTTCAGGCATCAGATCTGCTGCCGCCCACCTGGTCCAAAAGGATTGCAAAAATATTGCCATTGGGTAGTTACTTTTGAACCATGTGAAAGGCTGACTATTGGGAAATGTCACTGGCTAGGCATGCCCTGATTCCCAGGAGTATAGGGTCCCTGTTGTCTCTCCCTTCACATTCCTGGGAGAGGGAGAAGCAGGGTCTGCTCTGATTGGCCTGGACCCAGAGTGGAGTGAGCCAGAGAGACCAAAGGCCAAGAAAGGGAAGTTGCCCTCCTATACCCCAAACACCTAGGAGCACATGATCCTATCCCTCCCCTGGCTCTCTTTCCTAGAGGACATGTGCCTAGAGAGCTTTGGGTATGGGTGGTAGGGTGCAACAGCAGACTGCAGGGAGCTCCAATGCAGAGGGTGTAAGCCTGGGGAAGGGAGGAAGCTCAGACCATAGATGTGGGGATTGGAGCCTGGCTGGAGTGTGAACTGGGGTGGCTTTCACTGGGCAGAGTGAGATGGAAACCCAGTGTGGTCCCAGGGGCAAAGGAGGAGGGTGCCTGGGACTTGGGTCTGTTCTCGCCTCAGAGAGGTTTTCCCTGAGCACTAATTTTAAAGGTACACAGTCTGGGAGAGCCTCTGCAAGAAGTCTGGGGAGGCTCCACCACTCCTTCCAGTCCTCTAACTAGGACCTTCTCCTTTTTCTTTGCTCCAGAGACCACCTACGTGGGCTGGCCAACTGAACCAGCTGTGGGAGAGATATGGGGTCAGCTCAAATTCTGGAACAAAACCTGGGGAGAAGGGAGGCTACAGAGGCAAGACAGGAAGCTGTGAAAAGGGGGAGAAAGCAGACAAGCAGGGCCTAGGGGCTCCTGTCCTGGACTGGGCATGAAGCCAGCCATATACGAATTGAAGGCAACTTGGATCCCTCCTCCTCCCTTCTTTCCCTGGCCCCAGGTCCCTCTGCCTGCGTCAGGCTTCCCGCCAGGTTCCAGTGGGGGAGGCCGGGGAATGGATGTTTACATTAGGGAGCTGTGCGCCCGATCCCTGGGCTCATGCACCCTTGACCCCAGGGCCTTACTGCTCCTCGTGGCAACCTGAGCACAAGAATTACATCTGTAAAGGAAAGGGGACAGACTCAGAAAGGGGCTACGCGGGGGCGAGCGAGGAGGTGGAAGGAAGTGCTGAGTGTCACAGAGACCGCGGGGCAGAGATCAGCAGAGCAGGAAGGGTAGGAGGGGACGGAAACGGAGAGTCCGGAGCCGCTGATCTCAGGCAAGATGTCCGGCCAGAGAAGCTCGGGATCGAGAAACACTCGCCCCCTGCCCGCTTCCCCCTTGGATGGGAAGCCAGGCCGAGGCTGACCATCAGGAGAGCGCAGCTGGCAGCGCCACGAGGGTGAGCTCCGCGGAAGGTGCGGGTCGGCCCGGGCTGGGGGTCACTCACCGCAGGCCCGGGCGGTACACAGCGGCCATGGCAACTGGGCGGGGGCTGTGAGGTGGCAAGAGAACGTAGCGGAGCCTGGCAGAGATGGAAGGCGGGAAGGGAGAGTGCGCGGTGGAGCGACAGGGAGCTGAGACTGGGCGGGAGGCGCTTAAAAACCCCACCCCCGCATCCTAGCCCTCAAACCCATCTCTCCCATTGGGGGACTGGCTGCTCTCCTCGAGGCTCCGCCCCGCCCTGCCCACTGCACATGATGTAACTTTGAGGACTCTTGCTCCCGGTAGATAGTGACTGGAGACACTGGGTGGCAAACAAGCCAAGGGCTGGAGTCCACGGGGCCTGGAAGTCTAGTAGCGGGTGTTGGGCATTACATTCTTTCTAGGGACTGGGTACTCTGAGCCCCAGGCTCTTCTGATTTGCAGGGTCTCAATTCTAAGGTCTCTGCAGTCCCCAACTCCCAAATCCTTGTTTCTTCAGATGAGGTCTCCCTGCTGCGCTGCCTTACCATGAAACAGTCTTCGGGCCAGTCTTCTTTGGGCCTCTGCCCTGGTCATTCTTTCCACATTCCCCTGGAGAAAGCATCTGCCCCACCCAACCACCATCATAAGAGTCCTCAGGTAATTTCTCAAGTTATGTCTCCATCCAGACATTTCTCTTCAATTTGAGACCACTGGGTATCACCCCAAATGCCACAGCACCTCAAACTCAACATGTCTATGGGAGGCATCAGCTCAGCATCCACTCCCCCTTTCTGATAATGGCACCTCGATGCTCCTCTTCAGTCTGTGTGGTCATGTGGGTCTCCTGGGGGTAGGTTCTCAGCTTGGCCAATTTGTGTGTTCCTCACTCTGACTTCAGCAATTGGGAATGTTCAAGGATGAGCATGAGGTCCCTCTCTTCAGCTTTTTCTGTAAACTTTCAAAATAAGCTCCTGTCCTGCTGAGGTTGCTGAGCTAGTAGAGTATAAGCCTGGAGCTTCTGGGTGTCAGCTTAGCACTGCAAAGCAGGAACCTGCCGAGATGCAAGCCAGCATAGAGGAAGCAGAGCAGAGGAATGGAGAGAAACAAATTTGTGATTTAGATTATAGGAGCCAATGAATTTTTTCTCTTGCTGAAGCTAATTTTCTTAACAGAGGAACGGAGAGGGAGGGAGTGAGGGAGAGAGGGAGGGGGGGAGAGAGAGAGAGATGTAAGAGAGAAACATTGATTGGCTGCCTTCTGTATGCACCCCAATTGGGGATAGAACCTGCAACCTGGATACGTGCCTTGACCAGGAATCAAATCTACCACCTTTTGGTGTACCAGGGCAACGCTCCAACCAACCTTGTCACATTGGCCAGGGCTGTTCAAGCTAATTTTAAGTGCATTTCTGACCTTTGCAACAGAAACCATCTTGATTCTCAGATTTCTCAGAGTTCTGTGCTGGAACATAGTGAAACAAGCAGAGCTGGTCTGTAGCCTTGGGCTTGCTACTGGTCTTCCTCTCTTCCACCCAGGCTCCATCACACACTCAACCTCATCTGTATGTATTTGGGACTTTTCCCTCCAGTTTCAACATCTCTGTCCACACCTACCCCACTGCAGAAAACTGCCTGTTTGCCCCTTTGGGCCTAAAGGTGTGCACACTGGTGGGCTGGTCAACCTACCAAAGGTCATCATCTCTTCCATAATCCTGACCTGCTCTCATGGTTCCATATCTCAGCAAATGGCTCCACCATCTAGTCAATTGCCCCAGAAGAATCTGAGTCTGTTTAGACAATTCCTTTTTTATCCTCCATAGCCAGTCAGACACCAGGACCTTTGGGTATACTTCACAATTATCTCTCAAATCTGTGTCTATCCCCATAGCCACTGTCTTAGTTCAGGGCTCATCTCTCACCTGGTTTCAGGTGATGGCTTCCAAGCCACTTCTTGGCCTCCTACTTCTCCAAATGCTACCCCCTCCCCCCAAAGCTACCCTCCAAACTCTGCACTTACGGTCACATTGGAGAGTTAAGAGAGAGGGATAATGTTTATTGTGTGGACACTAGGTGCCATGCTCTGTGCCAGCAGCTTTACATGCATAATCTCATTCAGTTTCACAACAACCCCGTTACAGGTGTGGATGCTAAGGCTCAGAGAGGTTGTCATTTGCTTAAAGTCGTACAGCTAGTCAGCTTGAGAAATGGAGCCTGAATCCACATCTGACTCTAATTACCAACTTGTTTCCCCCATCAGCAGCCTAATATTGTCCCCTTGATTCATCATTTAAAAAAGTGAGAACATATCACTCTCAGGCTTAAAATTCCTTCAAGGCTTCTTTCACATCACATAGTAACTGATGTCCTTTATAATCTGTTTCCTATTTATCCAATGTTATTACCCCATCTCCTTACTTGCCACTTTCCACCTACATATGGAATTCTGCAGTTTCCAGAGAACTTCTGTGAACTCTTTCTGCCCTTCAGACTTAAATTAATCATCACCACCTACATGAAGTCAGTTTGCCCTTTAGAATTAACATCTACCTCATCTCTGTTGTTCTGTACTGTGTACTATGCCTATAGTTTTGTACTTATCATATTTTATTTACTAGTAGTTGTTTTTGTATCTCCATAATGCTCACTACAATATTAACTCGTTGAAAGAAGCATTCAAATTTTAGTTTTTTCCTGGCTGGGGGATTCAGTTGGTTGAAGTGTCGTCCTGTACCCAAAAGATTGAGGGTTCAATTCCCAGTGAGGGCACATACCTAGGTTGTGGATTTGATCACTGATCGGGGCACATACAGGAGGCAACTGATGTTTCTCATCAATGTTTTTTTCTCTCTCTAAAATAAAAAACCATGAGAGCAGGTGAGGATGAAAAAAATTAATCAACAAACAACAAATGCTGGCGAGGATGTGGAAAAAAGGGAACACTAGTTCACTGCTGGTGAGAATGCAGACTCATGTAGCCACTATGGAAAACAGTCTGGAGTTTCCTCAAAAAATAAAAAATGGAACTTCTGTTTGACCCAGCAATCCCACTTCTTGGAATATATACTAAAAAACCCCAAACACCAATCAGAAAGAATATATGCACCCCTATGTTCCTAGCAGCATTATTTACAATAGCTAAGATTTAGAAATAGCCCAAGTACCCATCAGTAGATGAATAGATTAAAAAAGCTGTGAGACATTTACACAATGGAATACTATGCAACTGTAAAAAGGGTGGATCTTTTACCCTTTGGGACAGCATGGATAGACCTGGCAAGTATTTTTTTTTTTTAAACAGCAATTCTTTTTTAAAAAAAATATATTTTATTGATTTTTTACAGAGAGGAAGGGAGAGAGATAGAGAGTTAGAAACATCGATCAGCTGCCTTCTGCACATCGACTACTGGGGATGTGCCCGCAACCCAGGTACATGCCCTTGACCGGAATCGAACCTGGGACCCTTCAGTCCTCAGGCCGATGCTCTATCCACTGAGCCAAACCGGTTTCGGCATCCTGGCAAGTATTATGTTAAGTGAAATAAGCCAATCTTTGAAAGACAAATATAACGAGCTCACTTATTTGTGGAATCTAATACATGGAATAAATTGACCAACAAAATAAGACCTGAAGCATGGAGGCATGGAACAGACTGACATACCTCAATTTGGGGTTGTGGGGATGAGAAGAGGTAAACCAAGGAACTAATGTACTTATAGGCTCATGGACATGGGCAATAGGGTAGTG